TCATTGTTACATATCCACTGTGGTCTCTCACCCCTGTAAGACCTCATAAACATAAAAAGAAAAATGACATGTCCAGTGTTGTCAACAAAAACACACAAAAAGCAGGTGGAATGTTGTGCTACTGTGTCAGAAAATAACAATAGCCAAAAAATGAATAATAACAACACAGTCACCAGGATATATAACTGCTTTGTGAGTTTGCTCGTAGCATTTATGGCTGATATTAAAGGCATAGTGAGGATGTTTTGAGGGGGGGTTGTATGAGGTGCATATCCAGTCAGTGTCTTAGCTTCAGTTTGGAGAAACAGACGTGAGCAGCATCAGGACGCTAATGTACTGCTGTGGATAGGGGCAGCCTACTTAACACACATCTCTTTTAAATGCTAAATGTTTTATATTTTCATCAATTTACCTTACAGTCCTAGCTAATGCTACCAGACTCAGTTGACAGAAACAGTCATTTAACTTTGCACAACACATGACTCCCCAGCTGGAATACATTATTCCCCAGCACTATATTGCATTATTTCTGTGCAGTTACAGACTGTTTCTCCTAACTGGGGGCATCATCCACCTGTAGACCGTGCACTGACTGTGGAGAAGTACCCCATATAACCCCCCCTCTAACAGCCACAGCTCTCCCTTAACAACACGTGTCCTCCTGGATGTTTCTGGGCGGGCGTCCCTCCATCCGCTCGAGTCTCTCCAGCTGCTGCGTGGTGCAGACACACCTCAGACCAGCTTCTTGGCCTCAAAGAAGCTCTTGAGGTGCTTCATCTGCCAGATGCCGGTGACGATGAGGATGAGGGTCTGAGCGATGGACCACCACAGGACGCGCTGGTTGGTGCTCTCACTGGTCATGCGGAAGCGCTCCTCTCGATACTGCAGGAGACACCACACACAGTATGAGAGGGGCAGTGATGAGGGATTATTGTGGGCGGACCCAGTAGAGGGTTCCCTGTACTAAAAGCAACGACAGCTTTCCATTGGATTTCAGAATTTTGTAGAAATTAAGATGTTACAAACACATGATGATGATGCTAACATGTTTTGTTCAACAGGATTATCTCCACATATTTTCACAACTTGTATGATTTTTTTAAGCTTAAATGCGCTCGCCAGAAGTAAAAAGCTAACGTTAAGCTATGAAGGAACTACATCATGGTCACATGACTCCACGTCAACAACGCTAAGCTAAAAGCTGCTAATGTTTGTGTGACGATGTTCAGTAGTCTCATTTAGTATCTCTAACACTTGTTAGCAACCGACGACACACAGAAGCTTCAGATACTCACCAGTGGGGTAATAACTGGGAGATTTTATGTTGTAGAATATAACAACCACAGATCTTATTTTGAGCGTCTAACCAAAAACATAAATATTATATATATATATATATATTGTGTACTTAATGAAGTGGTGTACTTAATAAAGTGGCCAGTGAGTGTATATTATAGAACAGCTGACTTTGAGATTAAGGAACCAGAAGTGGTAGAATGCCAAGTAATTTCCAAGTTTTAAGACTCATTTCTGTACCACTCTTGACCTCATCAACCTAGTAGTCCACCTGTCATCGATCACATTACTCTGAGTATTTTGTTACTGACCCTCTGGTAGTTTTGCTCCTTTTGGATCTGTTCCACCTGGTCCAGCAGCTGTCGGGCTCTCAGCTGCAGCTCCGTCAGTTTGTCCTTCGCTGCGATCTCAGGGTAGTTGTTGGTGTGTTCTCCCACCTGAATATCCAGATGCACCCTCTGCAACATAGGAAATACACCATTCAGATCTACATGCTTGTTTTCGTGAGAATTATAAGAAATATTAAAACTCAAGTTTCATCATCATTTTGCATCATGAGAACTCAAAATAACTCAAAATTCAGACAACTCATCCAAGATCACTGATGATTAAAGGCTTAAAATGGCAAAACCAAAACAAGAGGATGAGTAGGAAATTCTTGAAACTCAATAAATCAAAAGTTAACAAAAAAAAAAGGAAATATTGATGGTAAAGATTAAAGATTAAATGGAAATTCCTGAGCACATGTGGCTTAAAAGTCTAACTATTGTTCTTTTAGCTTCTCACGGACCTGGAGATATTGTGGGACAAATCAGTATGGATTTTAATAACTGCTATACAAAAATCACAATGAACTGGGACCCAGGAGTCTGCTGGATCTGCACAGGTGGACCATGCACACATGTTGGTATTGTCAAATTATTCACCTTTTCTGCAGAAAGTACGACTTTTAATGTCCAGAATGCTGAGTTTAAGTATTGGTGTTACCTGATAACCCCATTCTTGTTCTCATTGTGTGTATGTATTTAACTAACACTGATACGATTTTGATGACTAACCACCTAGTTGACAGATGAATAGCACTATAATTGTTGTGTATATCAGGGGTGTATTCATAGGTTTCTTGCAAATAAGTTATTTAGTATTAAAAAGCATTTTTTAAATTATAAATCGACTGAAGACATCTACGTTAACTAACCCGTAAACAACAATTTAGTCAACGTATCAAAACAGAAGCGGCAGCCCTTAAAAACTAAATTTCTCTATCAGGTAAATGTTGCTTTTTGGTTTGTATTTGCACTATGACTCTTGTGGGCGTACCCATCCTGTGCTTGATTGAGAGCTCCCTCACTCCTTTGTTGCACCTAGTTGGGCGGAACAAATAGTGCCCTGTCAGTCTTACTGCTAATGAGCCGGAATAACTGGAAACACATGTGGGGAGTGCAGGAATATTAAATAAATAGGAAAATGCTACTTTCTACTAGGGATCAGCACCATGTAAATGTTTTTATAGGCTTTCTTTTTTTGCAGTGCATTTAATGCAGACCAATCAAATATAAATGTGTTTCAAATGTCCACAGTGCAGCAGGAGGGAGTCTGTGAGGTAGATTGTAATCTGAGGTTAAATAAAGCCTAACAACTGGTCTGACCAGGACATGGTTAGTCTGGATGGTTTAACGAGCGCGATAACATCAGGGCCCAGACTTTTTGCAATCTCCTTTATGAAACAGAATTGCCTGAATATAAGCCTTTATGTATTAAGCCCAGTTTTTGAAAGTTTGTACAAGTTAACATGCAGAATCTTTTTCCCAATGAAAGTAATGTTGTACCATTTGTGAGAAGTATATTATTATAACGGTTATAAAGTGACAGCGCTCATACCAGTTTTCCTCCTGCAAACAGAGCCATCTTGGTGGAGTTGGAGTGCAAACAGATCTGATGTTCTCCGGGAGTGTGTGAGGTGAAGGTGAACCGTCCGTCTGAGCCGTATTGTCGAGAGAGGAGAATCTGGGAGAATTGTCAAATAAATTATTATATTATAATGACAGTATGTGTATGTGGGAGTGTCTCATTACACCACCTCCTCTTTGCTTACCTTAGTATCTGGATCCTTGATCTCCACATGCATCCCCAGGCCGGGCGTGGCTGCGAGGAAGGAATCTGTCAGCTTGTCCCACAGCTGAGTCCTGTACTTTCCTGTCAGACCGGTAGAGCAACACACACACTGCTCAACTCATCCAGTATGACCACTTTGCACCAGTACACAGCAGGATATAACTTTAACATAGTAAATGGGGGAATTCAACATAATGCAACAGTGCCAGAACATTTCCAAAGAAATATCAAAATTGTCACACTGTTTATAGCGAGTGTTACTTTTAGTAATGTAAAAGTCTACTTTCCTAGCTAGGGTTTGGATCACCATTAATACATCAGGGTTCTCTTCAAGCAGGTGCCCTTTTCTTATTTATCAGTAACCCTGTATCCGTCAGTGATAAGTAAACTGCTTAAATGAGTGCCTTCTGGTAAATATTAGTTTATATTTTAAATATAAACTCTGGTGTAACTAAAGCTAAGGCTGGTCCAGATATTTTATGCGAAGAAGAATTTATGAGGCCACAACATCTTACACAATCTTACAAAATCTACACTGTCATTTTTGTGCCAAAATACTTAGAAATACACGTTTTTGATGCAGCCAGCTGTTCGCGTTAGCTTTAGCTAGCATCACGTCAAGCTAACGAGCCCCCAGCAGCTTACCAATAACCATTGTTTCGTCTGGAATTTCTTCTATGAAACATTTCTTCTCCGTCTCTCCTATGTGGAAATAAAGAGCGTGACTTGGATAAATCCAAGCTAATATTAAAACCACTCCAGCAGCAGGGGTAGCGAGCATCATGTAGCTTATTCACTTCACGCACATCAGCACAAGAAGCTATGATGGTGCAGCAACTGACGTCATCTCCCACTGCGGAAGGAGGAAGGGGATTTCCTGAGCCGTGGGCTCATTTTGCCCTCCAGAGTGCTTCTCAGGCAGCACTCAATTCCAAGTTGTATAACCCCGAGACCAGACCAGCCAACGGAACGGAACAAGTACATTTTATTTTTGTAATGTACAGATCATTTTAATGAACAAGCAAGGAGCCGTGACAGCAATCATAGGCAAAAGGCTTTTAAACTACTAAAAATAAGAAAAATAACAAGAGAGATGAGTAGCCTTTGTCAGCTCCTTGGTGCAGTCTCGGATGTGTTCGGGGAGATGACTAGTTTCAGTGGGATGGGGCAGCAAGGTTTTAGTCAATGTAATTCATGATTTTGGATACAGAAATTGTTTTTTATGCAATACATTTTTTGGGGGACATTTCAAATTCCCAAGAAGACCACATTTTCCACATGTTTACTTGGAATTACAGCAATATGACACCATTATTATTTGGTTTGTTAAAGAAGATTGTTATATTCTTATCATTTTTACTTCCTTAATTTAGTTTGGTTGTTTTCACTTTGTGTGTGTACCCGTGATGTCAAAATGTGTTGTGCATATAATGTAAAATGTACAGATATTTGTACCTTTGAAGAATTGTTTATTTGACACATTGTACTGTTAAGTGATTACAAAATATATTATGTTATCAATAATAATACAGTTTACCATGTTATTAACCCAACGCATAGTCGAGAGGAAATGTGCCTGAGAGGCTGGACTCGGGGTAAAGAAACCATTAGTATTTCCTGAGCTAACAACACTCGTTCTGGCTTTGACAGATAACCTCAACAGACCTTAAACACCTACATTGTGTTAGGATAACATCACAAAACTTGGGAGAATGCCTTTCTGAAGACACACACTACGGTGAAGTAGGTTGTTGTTTATGCCAGTCATCAATTGCCTCAGACATTGAAGCTTCTGGCTGCTACAATATCCTAGCTAGCTCATTAGCAACATCGCTAGCTTTGTAGCATCAGCCAGCTTTCTAGCGGTGGCTAAACAGATCCGCTCACAAACAGGCTGAATGTGAGTAACAGCTTGCTGACCTGGTACCCGGACACACACCCTGAACAAGAAGAGAGGGTAAGAGCACAGCACAACAGTTACTGACACATTTATGACCTGTCTTAATGCGGGGGATAAAACAACATTGTTTATTATAGCTCTCATTGTAAGCTAATATAAATGTGATTCTGGTCGTGTCAGCAGTTGAGGTTGATGGTGGTTTTATTTAGGCTAATTATTCAAATATATAAAATAAGCTATCTGTTTCAGTCGACCTCTTTGCCTCATGGTATTAGTATGACGTAATGTTTTTGTCCTCCTCACTGATACCTGTATGTAGGTTATACTGCACAAAGCAGGAAGAGACAAACTACAGGAGCGAGCCTTTATACCTTAGCCTATGAGCGGCCTGATGCCCCCCTCACTCAGACATAAGGGATTTGGGAGAGGGCTGATATTGAAAGAGAAAGTAACCGCAGCATGCCGCCGGACGGTGAGGCGTGGTGTGTCATGTGTCACCATGTGTTCCCTCCCCCTCTGCGGGTGGGGGGTGATTCAGGGTAGCAGATATTATGTTTAATACAATAAGAGATCAATCGTGTACTTTTACTCCACTAAATTCATTGAATAGCTTTAGTTACTTTGCAGATATAGATTAATGATAAACAATAGCATCAACACTTAATAAATACTTTAGATACACCTGGATTAAATTCACATTAGTTGAAATTAGTTCCACCTTTACCATATTTGATAAGACTTTAATGATCAATAATTATAAAACATATATATATTATTCTGAAATGGACCAATCTGCACAATGACTACTTTTACTTTTCGTACTTTAAGTATATTTAGATGCCAATACTTTTGTACTTTTACTTGAGTAACATTTTTAATACAGGACCTTTACTTGTAAACAATTTGGTATTTCTACTTCTACATATGCGGAGCTCAGTACATCTCCCACCTCCTAAAACTACTGGTTGTTATGGGAAACAGTTGGGTTAATACATTATAAAAAATTCACAGAACCTTTTACATTTATATTTAATTTAATATGCTATTCCTTGCATACTTAATGTGAGTAACATCCTACTTTTATTTATTCTTAGCTTTAATTGGCCGTTCGTGGTGTATATTTGAGAGATAATCTACAGATTTGTATCTTTCACTTTCAATATTATGTATATGTTTTACTTTTTAGTTCTGTTTTATTTTTATTTTGAGATGTTCATATTATATGTTTATGTTTGTTTATTATCTACTCTTTTTCATTTTCACATTATGTGCAATGCCTTGTTCACATGCTGCTGTGACAGAAACATATGCCAAATCGGGATCAATAAAGTAAATCTAGTCTAATCTAATAATGTAAAGGGAAAGCACACAGACAGAGAGACTCCAGAGGCCTCAACACTACACAGGCATTGGTATTCGAGCAAAGGTCTAATGAGGTGTGTATGAATATATAATAATCTGTAGTTTTTCTACAGGGATGGTGCAGCCCCAGCCTGATGGCCCGATGCAGTGGGACATGCCGGGAGAAGACATTGGCGGGACCCTCAGGGTCCCCCCGGAGCTGGCCTCCAATGAGGTGGTGACCAGGCTGCTGGGAGATAACCAGCAGCTAAGAGGTAGATGCATTTCCACTATTAAAAAAATGTGTACGGATGGGTGCAAATGATTCTTTTTGTTTTGTTTGTATTTATTTATCTGTGTACTTTCACCAGAAAATTATTATTATTACTATTAATATTATAAGATTGTGTAATCGTTTTTTTATTCCATTATTTGTGTACCTTTTTAGTTGGATGCTTTTATTTATTTGTTGCCCTGCACTCCTGAAATTCTTGAGTAGTAGTTTGTAACTTTGTTTTGAAATAAAAAAATAAAAAATTAATAATTTGCTATTCTTATTTATATAATTACTATGTACTTGATTTACAGCTTTTGTTGAAACGTTGTATGGCATAACTCTCCTTTCTCCTCCCCCCTGCTGTCCTCCAGAGGCCCTGCAGCGGAGCAACCTGGCCCTCCGTCAGCGCTGTGAGGAGATGGAGGGATGGCAGCAGAGGACCAGAGGGGAGCGAGAGTTTCTCAGCTGTCGTTTCCAGGAGGCCAGGGCCCTTGTGGAGAGGCTGGCCCAGGAGAACCACTCCCTGCAGAGTCTGGTGAACGGGTCGGGCCCCTCCTCCACCCACTGCTGCAGCTCCAGCCAGACCGAGGAGCTGCAGGCGCGCCAGGCCCGGAGCAGGCCGCTGGACGGACCGCAGGTAGGCTCAGAGATTCTGTTTCCTCATATTCATACTTGATTGATTATTCCATTACATCTGAGCAAACACGTGTCATTGTTACACAGCTTCCATTGTTATTGTTATCTTTATAATCATTTGTTGGAATGTGTTAAACTTTTTTTATGTACACAAAAGTATGGTGGCCCTGAAGTGCAAGTCAAAACAACATTTCACAAAACACTACAGCATTTCACAAAACACTACAGCATTTCATAAAATGCAAACGACATTTGAAAAAACACTACAGCATTTCACAAAACACTACAGCATTTCAGAAAACACTACAGCATTTCACAAAACACTACAGCATTTCACAAAACACTACAGCATTTCAGAAAACACTACAGCATTTCACAAAACACTACAGCATTTCAGAAAACACTACAGCATTTCACAAAACACTACAGCATTTCAGAAAACACTACAGCATTTCACAAAACACTACAGCATTTCACAAAACACTACAGCATTTCACAAAACACTACAGCATTTCAGAAAACACTTCAACATTTCAGAAAACACTACAGCATTTCACAAAACACTACAGCATTTCACAAAACACTACAGCATTTCAGAAAACACTACAGCATTTCACAAAACACTACAGCATTTCACAAAACACTACAGCATTTCAGAAAACGCTTCAACATTTCAACTTTTACGGAAAGGGTATTCCTTTAGGGAGAACTCTTCTTGTTTGTGATTGGACTGAGCCAGCCAGCCACAGCCACTGCTGTGATTGGTTGTTTTTGCTGCCAGTCAAGAAATATGCTTCCTGATTGGTCAGCACCCGACAGCGCCACTTATTTCCTGTTTGGTACTTTTCAGCTGTTTCTGCACACATTTTAAACTGAGTTGGAAAGAATGGAAGAAGAGATGGAAATCCTAAGGGAATATTTGAACAGCGGATATACATATGATGTTATCCTCGACATGCTGTCAACCCATCACCACATCAACATGTCCCAAAACATCAGCCGTTAGCTGTTATCACACAGAGCTCACAGCTCCTCATATCTGTTCAGAAACTGGACAAAAGTTAAACATGAACAAAACACAGGCTGTCTGTGTCATGGAGAATACAGTTGCTGCTTTATTTATGTCTGTATCATGTTGTTGTGAGTTTGGACGGAGCAGCTACAGGTTAGTTTATCCTGATCGATCCGATCTCATTCAGAAAACACGCATTTTAAAAGGTTTTTCGTCTGCCGTCTTGTCTGCACACTTGTCAAAGCATTAATTCATGGTTTTTACTAACCGGTATCAGTATGTTTTTACTTCGGCATCATTTTGAAACGTGTATTGCAATTAAATCACGGTAAAATATGTTCATTTTGTTGTAGTTGGTATCTACCATAGTATTTACATGGAGATAAGCCCCGAATATTCGTCAGCTGTGTTTACTCCTGTCATTCAAACAGGACGTGCTGGAGAGGGGGCGGGGCTTATATCCATGCAAATACTATGGTAGATACCAACTACAACAAAATGAACATATTTTACCGCGATTTAATTGTAATACACGTTTCAAAATGATGCCGAAGTAACAACATACTGATACCGGTTAGTAAAAACCATGAATTAATGCTTTGACAAGTCTGCAGACAAAACGGCAGGCGAAAAACCTTTTGAAATGTGTGTTTTCTGAATGGAGATCGGATCGATCAGGATAAACTAACCTGTAGCTGCTCCGTCCACACTCACAACAACGTCCTAAAGACAGAAATAAAGCAGCGACTGTATTCGCCATGACACAGACAGTCTGTGCTTTGTCCAGTTTCTGAACAGATATGAGGAGCTGTGAGCGCTGTGTGCTAACAGCTAACGGCTGATGTTTTGGGACATGTTGATGTGGTGATGGGTTGACAGCATGTCGAGGATAACATCATATGTATATCCGTTGTTAAAATATTCCCTTAAGATTTCCATCTCTTCTTCCATTCTTTCCAACTCAGTTTAAAATTCTGAAACAGCTGAAAGGCTGAAAAGTACCAAACAGGAAATAAGTGGCGCTGTCGGGTGCTGACCAATCACGAAGCGTCATTTCTTGACTGGCAGCGAAAACAACCAATCACAGCAGTGCTTCTCTGGCTGGCTCTGTCCAATCACAAACAAGAAGTGTTGTCCCTAAAGGAATACCCTTTCCGTAAAAGTTGAAATGTTGAAGTGTTTTGTGAAATGCTGTAGTGTTTTGTGAAATGCTGAAGCATTTTGTGAAATGCTGTAGTGTTTTTTGAAATGTCGTTGCGTTTTATGAAATGCTGTAGTGTTTTGTGAAATGCTGTAGTGTTTTTTGAAATGTCGTTGCGTTTTATGAAATGCTGTAGTGTTTTGTGAAATGTTGTTTTGACTTGCACTTCAGGGCCACTGTACAAAAGGGCTATTTCTCTCAAATATTGTTCTCAAATGTGTGTTAGTGAGCACTTTGCAGAGATAATCCATCCACCTCACAGGTGTAGGGATGGGTATCGTTAAGGTTTTAACGGTACTACTACTTTTATCGATACCGCTTATCGGTCCGGTCTTTTAACGGTACTTTTATCGGTTCTTTTGGAGAGAAAAAACGAGGTAAACTAACTATATGTTGTATGTCAGGGACTACGAATGGAAATTAACTCAAAGCTAAAATCCGGCATATTTACACTTGAAGCATTATTTGTCTAAAGTGTTCATTAATGTGCATTGTCCCTATTCAAATAAACGATTAAATGAAAAATGAAAATAAACAAATTGTGAACAAAACTAAATTTGTTTTTAAATTTAAATTTAAATTAAATAAATAATATTTCGCATCTAAAGAAACAACAATGTTTTAACAAAGTGTGTTGCTGCTAGCATACATAATACCTGACGTGGAAACGTTACTCGTGGATGGGGCTACAGAGCTACTAGAAAGACAGTCGAACCCGGTGCATTTCTCCGTCTGAATGTGGTGCACTTTTGCTAAATGTTTAGACAAATTGCTCGTGTTACCGCCCTTACATGCTAAACTCTTATTGCACTTTTGGTAACGAGCATTGTCCACATCGAGACGGGTAAAGTTTAACCACACCTCGGAGCGCGTTCTCTCCGCCATCTCCTCCGTGTGTGTGTGTTGCTGCATGTAGCAGAGCGTGTGTGTAAACTGCCCCGCCCCCTCGCAAGCAGGCGGGGGAGAGAGATCGAAAATACAAAAAATGACGCATTTTGCAGTCTTTTTGCATATTAGAAACGGAGTTGGCGACACTAAAACTGCAAAATAATGTTTGTGTAGCAATAATACACATGACATATTTTTTACATGTCTCCAGTACCGATAAAAAGACCGATAACGTCGGAGCTTAACGGTACCACGGTCTTTAATAATTCAGCCCCGGGGCCCGTTTAATACCGGGGCTCGGTACCCATCCCTACACAGGTGTGGCGTATCAAGATGCTGATTAGTCAGCATGGTTATTGCACAGGTGTGCCTTGTTGTCTTCTTTTATTCCAGGAAAGACAAACAACTTCTAAGTTGAACTATTCATTAAAAGAGAGCAAAAGATATATTTCACTTGGCCAAGGACTCCGTCCGGTCACAGAAATCACAGGCAGCAGAGCTGTAATCTCCCTGAGGGAGGATTAGGCAAATGAAGCCGCTGACGTCACTTCTTCTTCTTCTGCTTTGGGTTTACTGGCAGGCCGCAAACATCTTCGCGGCGTATACTGCCACCCGGAGTCCCCGGCCGGAAGTCCCCGGAGTTAGGGACTGGCTTCAGTAGAAGCTGCTGGGACTCCCAGCAGCTTCTACTGAAGCCTTCCGAGTAAATCGCCAGAACGCCGACACCTCCTCATCTCTCCACCGCTCCCATGTTTTATTTTGTTTTCTTTTGTGTTGCCATAAGTTATTCTCTCTCCGTTGGTGCGCTGGGCTAATGCTAATGCTAATAATGCTAATGCCAGCAAATACAATGGCGGCTTCACAAAACTTTTCAGAGTTTTACGGGGCGTGGTTTGCAATTCGCCCAGCCAATCAGAAATTGGAACTTTTTTTCTCCCCAGGAAAGTACCTGCTCTCTAGCAGGGACTGAAAAGGGGGGAAAAGTTCTCATGAAGTCTTTTTGGTGTCAACGCAAAATCCCAGGAAATATCGGAACTAAAAGGGAAAAATACGGGGGAAAGTACTCCGGTGTGAAAGCGCCTAATGTTTTCAATGGTGGAAGAAGTACTCATACCTATAATTACATATCATAGTTTAATTATTTGTTAATTTACATTTTGTAATAGCTAATAACCTGAATCTATAAAATAACTAGTAACACATTTTGTCTGACAAATGTAATGGAGTAAAATGTAAAATATTGGCTTCCAAATTGTAGTGGAGTAGAAGTGTTAAGCAGCATAAAATAAAAATACTCAATTAAAGTAAAATACAAGTGCCTCAAAAAGTACAATACTTGTACTTCACTACATTACTCCACTGCTTGTTTCAGACACTTGATCAGCGGGAGAAGAAGCAAGTGGAAGAGACGGATCAGAACACACAGACCATGCCGCCTCGCAGCCTGGTAGGAGTTCTGACTGTTGTTTGATGGAGTTTTGATTGAGTTTGTGTATCTTCATCTAACGAGTATGTCCATGTGTGTCTAGGGCGATGCGAGTGTGCATAGCTCCTTGAGTAGCGCCCTCCCCTCTCCCTCCTCCTCCCTTTCAGAGGTATGGGGGGAGAAAGTGGGCATGAAAGATGGCCAGGTGAGCATGCTCACTGCATCCCTCCCCCCCATCCCCCCAATCCGATGCCTGACACCTAATCTTTGGCCCTCACTCCAAGTTTAATGCTTCACCTCACCTTTGTTTTTATGCTTTTAGACCGACAAATGACCTAAAATACAAAACCTGATGCCCCATGCGTCTTTTATCAAAGTCACTGGACAATATAGATCTGTAGGTCGCAATGTATTTTACTTATATTTCCAAGCAGGAGCATCTGATTGAATGCTAGTCGGACTCCAGAAATGCCTCTGCGTCCCACTTTAAATCTAATCAAACGAGTGATTCCTCTTTTAAATCCCTCTCTGTCTCCTCACTTTGTGTTCTCTCACATCTTAGTGTATTTCCACATTTTGCTTGGTGTGAGTCCTGCAGCCCAGGGGAAAGAGTTCTGTCTGTGTTCCCTCCTGTTACCTCCCCTATCTCCCTGCACCCTTTCATCCCCCGTTCATTCACTTCCTGTCTCTCTCCGCAGCCTGTGGAAGGTTCAAACGATTTCCTCCAGTTGCTGAAGAGCCACAAAGAGAAACTGGAGGAAGGGATGAGAGATCTGAAGAGGAAGAATGAAGAGCTGGAGAGGGAGAGGGAGGAGGGGGAGAAAGAGAGAGAGCACATGCGGCGCTGCTTTGACCAGATGCGGAACAAACTGGCCCAGCCACAGGTAACACAGTCATCCAATCACAGGCCTTATACACAGGATCCAGAAGTTCAGATGTAAGGGTAGACATGAGAAAGTACAGCAATAACTAGAAAGTGCAGATCGCCGTCAGCTGTGTCTGAATGTATACTGACCCAAAATCTAAATGTTTTTTCACTTTGAAATCATCTATAGTTGCAAAATATGTAATGTTGAGGAAATAAATTATTTATTTTGCTAAAACTATAGAAAAAGTCACACTAGTCTCCACTGTTCCAGGCTGTAATGCATCGCTCTGGGAATTGCGCCCTGTCAATCTCCATCCAATAGAAATGCGTGTTTTTGTCACTGACAGGATCAGATGGTTATTTTAGTGTTTGACAAGGAATAACTGTGTCTCGCTCTTTGTGAAGTCTTGTTCCTAAATCTCTTGAGATGCAAAGTCAGTGAGAGTTGGTTCAGTGTTTGTTGTTTTGGACATCAGAAAGCGTAGTTTTAAATACATCCTGAGGGAAGGCTGTGCATAGATCAGACACGTGAATGTCTCCATGTCTAATACAGTGGTGCAGTGTTGACGTATTTCGTAGGCCGACCCAGAAGTTACATCAAGGGCTCCCTTAACAAAATCCAATGGCATTTTCCATTGGATTTTGGAATATTGCACAAAATAATCTCTGGGGCAAACACACATTTATGATACCACATTTATGATACCTATGCATTATCAGTCGGATTATCTTCACATATTAACACTGCTTTGTGATTTTTTTAAAGTTTAAATGCAACCACTTTCTAGATATGTTATGGACACTGGCATAAGAAATATCAGAATCAGAACCAGAATCTGGTTTATTGCCAATTAGGTTTACACATACGAGGAATTTGCATTAGTATGAACGGTGCAAACAAAGACACAGAAAGAGGAATGGGTTGTAGAAAAGGAACAAAATTGTTCTATTATAAAAACAATTTAAAGACTATTATAAGAAATAAAGACAATATTTACACAAAATATAAATTCACAAAAGACTACATCAAGGTACAGTAAAAATATCACAAATACTATAATTTAAAGTTTTAAAAGTGTGTGTGTAGGAGCCAAAATGCTTTTTGGCCATTGTTTATTGTTTCTATTAAATCATCATTTGTTTACACCACAATTATTCACTTCCGGCATTCACACCTGGGTGTATTTAAGGTATTTAGTCCAGCTGTTGTGTTCTGGGTTGGTGTGGAAGGAGAATGGGGGTGATTTGTTTCGGATACCTTTTGTTGATCGTATGGTTCTACTCTGGTTATTGTTGTTTTTTCTTTCTTATTTAAACATTCTGAAATGTAAACTCAGGACGGACTGCTTATTGGGAGCTAGTCACAATGATTAGCCAAGTTTAGCCTCTTCTGCAACATCATTTATTGAACGTTTTGTCGCTACAGTGTGTGTAAATTAAATGTAATGTTATGTTAAAGTTTTTTGTGAATGTTTTACAGGCAGTCAACGTTTCTGACGAGGCTGCCCAACATCGCTCTGAGGCACAGCACTCCTCTGACTGGTATGAGACATTTCTCTTCCTGGTACAAAATACTGAATTGCATTGTGTGAAACTAATGACAATAAAGTGAATTTCTGTGATAACCGAGTCGTCATGAGCCGCTTTTGGACTGGGTGCTGTTGAATTAGTCTAACTGTACTGTATATGTGCAGGAAACAGCATGCCTTTTTTGTTTCTGCATTTCTTCTGCTTAATACAAGGCTGATTTTGAGATGTCTTCCTCCTCCTTCCTCTCTCTGTTCCCTTCTCCAGCTCTAGCCTGGCTAAACTCACAGAGCAGCTTCAGGCCACACAGGGCAGGTGAGCCCACAGCTCTGTGTGGCTTCTTTCACTGTGTGCATGCTACCCCTGCATGCCCTGTGTGTCTGTGCTCACTTTGTCACGAACGCTCGTTTACTTTTCTGTCGTGTTCTATTATATACCAGTGGTTCCCAGCCGGGGTTACAGGGGTGCTTGAGGGGATTGCAGGGTGTCCGTAGAAAGATTAGGGATTGCAATTTATTCCCACACCAAAAGAAAATGTAGCCTGTTGATCGTGGTCTAGTTCAGCATCCACGAGTAACAGCTCCTGCCGGGTTAGTGTTGATTGTAACACCACTTCAGTCAGGGTGACCAGGTGCCAACCATGGATGTATAATAAGAACTGGATACAGCGTGGGAGGCGGGGTCTCGTTCTTTCCTATGAGAGCTGCTCATTGGCGCATGAGGATAAAATGGCCCAACTTTTGAGAGCGAAACGTCACAGATTACCCGTCATGTCTGGCTGTCAGAGCAGAAGAACCCGTATGTGCGCTCACAGAGCATGCGCCCCTTAAGCCCCACCCCCCGAGCTCCCACTCTCTGCTCACTAGAATGAATGGAGAGAGAAAATAAATCTAGATTCGGCTTTTAGTGCATTTTACAACTTTAAGGACTTAATGATTCTAATAAGGGCTATAAAATAGTTCATACTGGGTAGTTTATTTAGTTTAAAAAAAATTATCCGCTGATTTACAGACGTCTCTTTCCCAATGTTAGTCAATGGAAAAAAGTATTTCTGGGCCCAGTGACGTCATGGACTGATACGGAAATTGTAGTACCGCCGTTTGGACACAACAAATGTGTTCCTCAGAGTCCGGCGCACTTCCTGGGGGCTTGGTGCCAACAAGCCGCATGTGGAACAAAGAGTGTGTTTGTGCGGGTCATCGTGGAACATGTTACTGCGATGCTAAGAGGTCGTTTGGATTTCGATAATGTCAATTCAACCCTAAAAAATTAAGATTTCTAATATTACTTAAAACGCTTCACTATAAGTTGATGTCCACATGATATAGTCTGGAGCTGGAGAAAAAAACTCCCAAGTCTTACAAAACCTCTGTGGGAATCGCCCTCCACCGGCTACACCCATAAGTAAATACATTTCTAGACTTTCTTTATTAACTGACATCTGACACAGCCAATGGTAATAGCCATCTTTTGCTTTCTGAACAGCCATTGGATAAAAGCCAAGTTTTGACTGTCTGGGTGACTGTCAGTTAAATGTGGGACATCTCAATTTGTGGTAAGCCGGACAAATGATAACAATGCCGAGCAGTCCCGTGCAAAGATGGACACCTTGTAACTGAAGTTCATGTTCACGCTGAAGCGCTGCGCTTACTGTAGCCACGAGCTAACATTAGCTGCAAATTGGGGAGGCAACGATAAACGTACAGATACCGGTCCCGTCGCTGCAGAACCGGGTTTAAGAGAGCCCTGTGAAAAGAAAAAATATATAGGGAAATACATTTCTCAGAGATTTAGTTGTACATCTGATGATCCACCACGGCCAAAAGTACTGGCAAATAATTCTATGAAGCCAGCCTATCTGCGGAGAAGCAAACGCGCCGGGAGAGTCTGTCAAAGGTCGGGTTGAATATGATTCCAAAGGGTTTAATACAAGTCCAAATGTAGGTGAATAATCACAGATAAGTGACAGGGTAGTTATAGAATGGCGACCAGCTCAAGGGGGACACGAGACAAAAAGAGTTGGGAACCGCTGTTATACATTTCGACAATTTATCATTCCATCATTGATGGACGGATTCGCATTGTCTTCATATCTGCACTTCCTGTCTTCTCCTAAAGGGTTAACAGTAGCATTTGTTAGCTTCCCTTCCCATAATTCTGGCAAAACCAATTGGACATAAAATAATTTAAAGTATGTTTTACTAAAATAATTTTAGTGATATATTTATTTGAAATTACTGAAAAATTTAGATTTCAAATTCCTTTTCTGTCCTCATTGTATTGAACAAGGCATTACTTTTGTGCACATTCAGATATTTATACTTGACATTATCATACCAAATTCAACTGTCATTTGATTTTCACAACTGCAGAGCTGCCTGCTGGCTACATGGCTGAAACTGATGTGAGGCGTCCCCCCCTGCACAGCCCCCTTGTTAGTTATTTAAATATAAAAAGATACAGAAGGTTTTCTGTCAAATCATAGCATCAGTTATTTTATATTAATGTGTGGTTCCTTGTAAGGCTATGCAGTCAGTGGTGGAGTGTAACTTGAATACATGTATTTACTGCAATTAAATACAGTTATGAATATTTATCCTTTAAACTTCTACTCTACTACAGATGGTTTTTACAACATTTTGAATACATAATGCATAATTGTTTGCATTGTGTAAGGTCAAATTACCCAACAGAATAAAAAGGAGTTACAATTAGCTCCTCAACAAACTACAACATTAAAATACACCTATGTTAATGCAACAATATAAAAGGTGCATGTTTTGCAGGACAGGCACTTTTATTTTTAACATTTTTGTTGGTAATACCTCCATACTGAAAAAGAAATGATTGGACTTTTGACTATTTTCACAGTGTAGTATTGCTACTTTGACATTATTAAATGATCCTAACAGTTCTTCCACCACTGCACAGAATTACCATTGATTAGTGATTCATTAATAAGTATTTGAATAATTAGCCAGGGACAGTTGTCAATAAACAACTTGCTGCATCTTCTTAAGTCATTGTTATTGTGTAAATTATAATTAAATACATGTGTGAGTATTGTGAAAACTCTTTAATAATTGCAACTTTAATGTAAGATCAATCGTTAGCCCAACTGTAATTATACATACAGTATGTGTGTAGATATATCAATTGACATGACAATATGTGCTACTGTTTAGTGATGAGAGTGTTGTGTCTGCAGGTACCGTGATTTGGAGGAGAAGCTGGATTACCTGCAGAAGAGTTCAGCTCAGCGGGACCGAACTGAAGCTCTGCTCAAACAGAAGGACAAGGACTGCGCACAGGTCCGGACTGTGAACAGTTCTCCTGCTACTAAAGTTACAGATGGTGGCAGCATTTAAAGACTCTAAACTTAAATACATTGTTTTCACAGCTGGCCAAGGACTGTGAGGCTCTGAAAGCTCAAGCCACGTCCCTGTTAGGAGAACTGAACGAGAGACAGAGCTGCCTGGAGAAGAGCGAGCATGAACGCAAAATACTGGATGAAAAGTATGTGGTAGCATTAATACAAAGCAGAGACAAAGCAGAGACGCTGTGTTCTATAACGACATATTATAACAATTGTAGGTTTAAAACAAATGATGTGGATGGAGGTTATAGTAAAACATAAAAAAACTGTATATTGATATTTTACAGCAAAAATTGCTTAGTGGTACATTTACAAGAACAATTATTTGATACTAAAGTCATACAATTTAGAGAATCTCTTATTTCTTTGAAATCAAGTCACAAAAAAAACTGGGGTTACGTACTGTAAGCCAGCTTCTATGAGTATAGGCGCAGCCCTCTAAGGCTATCGCTATTGGGTAATCCCACTGCGCAAGCGCAGCACTAACAGACTTAAAGGGCCCATGTCATGGCTGTGGAGGAAACTTCTGTGTAGCAATGCATGGAGTCACCGACTCAGGAAGGAGACACGGTGAGAGTTGGAGCTTTGATGTCAAACACTGATGGGTTTATTCAGAGTATTCGGCCGGAGGATTCACATCACAAATCAAAGAGTCAGAGGTTCCGACTTCACGGTAGAGTTGCCACGTCAATTCTGAAGAGCCTCTCTCTATGTTAGACCTTTTAACTGGTTCACAGAGAATCAACATCTCTGAAGGAGTAGACTAAACAGCTGGGAACACTGAGCCACCTGCGTCCGACACTCATGGCCTCAAAGATTTCACATCTTAGAGTCCACAAACACCGATAAGGAAGTGCCTCAGCGTTCTCACAACAATTACCATTCGTGCCAGACAAGTTGACCGGTCACAAACTGGTGACAACAACACATATGGCACCAATGCCTTTCCTTAAAGGAGATAACAGACGTCAGAGTAGATCATAAAACGTCACAGAGCAAAAGGTTAGATATCTAGAAGAATTATTCCTTAACAATGGCCATTTCCACTGATCATAATTCCATTGTTGAGGTATACTAAAATAGATTTATACTGTGCAATTTTCCAAACTCACATTGGTTTCGCATACAGCATCTCTGTAAAGTATGTGTATTCAGCAGTATTCACTCTCTCCACTAAACGACTCGTTGGAGCTCTTGCCCCCCCCTCCCTGTGAGCCTAGTGTGCTCCGATTGGTCAGCTCGGCCACTCTGTTCTGATTAGTCAACCACCAAAGAGGCTCCGCCCATGTCTAACAGTGCTTTTTTCGGCTCGCTCTCGGAACATCAGTCTTATAATGGCGTCGGTACAGCCGTATATTTTATACGCTAACTAACCGAACTGTACCTACAACTGTTGTTATAGAAGAGTAAGTTATTTTTACCTGTAATAAACTACTACTGTTTGATGAGAAATCAAATCATGGTTTGCTATATATGAATGATATGTTATAGGAGCAAATAATTCAGGGAAGAAAAGATAGGCCTACTAAGTATTTCCATCAAACTTTATTTTTAGAAATGTACAAAATGAACATAAATATACATATATACACGGTATATCATCCATTCCTCCCCGTTGTCGGCATCTTGCCTATCGCAGCCGGGGCTTTTTAGGACGAGGCCTCAGTGTGGTAGTCCCGTCCCAGTCATGTATTTTCCGCCAGGATCTGGCTGGACGAAATCAAATGCAAATCACAAAATATCAGAGAAACTTAGTTGTTTTAGATTCGTTAGTAGTAGTTGTGGTAGGAGTGTGGATCTATCTAATCCATCTATCTAATAAACACAGTAAGCTTGCCAGCTAATATGCTAACCTAGCTTTCTTGTTTACCTTGTTAGCAAACACGATATGAAGGTTAGCTCGGAGGTACGGCAACTATAATGGAGTGTAATAAAACTACTATGAACAAAAGTTAGTGGCTAGCAATAACGTGTTTATAATTGCAATCTTATACGGGTAGTACGTTCGGTCATTCATTGTAACTGGCATGAATACGATGTTTCCCGCTAGCATGTATAGCTAGCCTCGTTAGCTATACATGCTATCAGCGTCGGAGGAAAGCCAACTGTAATGTACCGTCCTTTGGGGGTCTGTGAGAGGGCAAAGAGAGGGGATTTCCCCGTTGTCTCTGCTAGAAGTGTGAAATAAACAGTCCCCATTTCAGGGACACCTCTTGGAGGTCTCTAGGCCGTCCTTTGGGGGTCTGTGAGCGGGCAAAGAGAGGGGATTTCCCCGTTGTCTCTGCTGGAAGTGTGAAATAAACTTAGTTGTTTGATGTTCGTCAGCTTGCCAGCTAGATTACAATGCTAATCTACGTTTGCTAGTTGTTCAGTTGTTCAATATGCTATACTATACTATGAACAACAGATAGTGGTTCATATTAGGCTATCAAGCACATGTTTACAATTGCAATCTTATATGGGTAGTCTGCTACATTCATTGTAGCTGGCATAAAAACATTGTTTTTCCGAGCAAACTCATGTCTAGCTCTTAGTAGCCTTGTTGTTTAGCTCGGTAGCATACACGCTCGGAACGCCAGCTATAATGTAATTACGTTTCGCGACTGACCGTACGGTAAATCACCTGGAGTATACTGTCTATGAGTATTTAGTGTGTGAATGCAGACATTCTCCTACTATGAGATACATGTATGTAAGGCCATCTGCTGATATTAGAGTTGATATGGAAACGCTAGCAACTTAGTTAGCACAGTTAGCACTGGCTTAGCAGTCCGAAACATGTTTACACATTTAAACAGTCGTGGTAGATACCTTGTTTGATAAATACACAAATAACAATGCAAACTTACAGGTTGTGTACCCGAATCTTCCCCTGCTCCAAACGGTCCAAACAAACTAGGAATAGCATCGTCCTTCAGTTTCAAATGCTGTGCATATCCGGCCTCAAACTGGGCAATGTTTTGGAAGCTTTCGTCTGTGAAATGCCGCGCACACAGTAACGTTCTTCGAACCTCTGAAGGAACAGTGTTAAAAAGAAATTTCAACCACTGACTTCGACGTGGTTCTTCCGTCGGTAGGACAAACAGCTCAGATTTCTCCTCACATTTCAGGAAACAGGTCCTTGGCATTGGCATGACTGGATCGATTGTGAACTGAACCAGAGCTTCCAACAGTAAATGTTAGGCTGGCAGAGGGTGCGGCCAGCGCCGCTGGGTGTGGCCATAGCTCTTCGGGATTGGTCCATTTCGTTCCGGGTACCGCATGACATCATGCGGTACCCGGAACTAAATGGAAGACTCAAATGGGCAGTGACGTATCTCCAACGAGGTGTTTTGGGGAGGTATTTTCTGTGTTAGAGTTTTACTCGCTACAGGGTGTACTTTGAGGGTTTTGACTCTGCACACCATTTACATGCATAAAAACCTTCATAACACACAAGGGGACGGGTAATAACCGGAAAAGCATGACATGGGCCCTTTAATCCACGCCCACCTATGACGTGGGCCCCACCTACGGCCTCACTTCCGTATAAATAGGAAGTAGGCCCGACAATCTGCTCCCACACAAACAGCTTTTCTTCAGCTATTCGCGGAGCCAGTGGGGCCCGAACCTTAGAGGGCTGCGCCTATACTCATAGAAGCTGGGTTACAGTACGTAACCCCAGTTCTATTTCGTATAAGGCTATTGGGTTAAGGGCGAAGCAGGATGTAGTCCACGCCCCACTGGTCCGTCCGTTACCAGAAGTACAAAAACACATCTACTCAATTAATAACCCATGCGTAAAGGAGCATCACAGTCCCTGAAAATATAGCATTTAAAAAAAAAAAAAAAAGGGGCAGCTCTCTGAGTGCCGACAGGCAGGAGAGAGGGCACACCGTTTAGTCCCCGACATTACTCAATCTGACAGGACACTCAGTACTGAATGTGTAAGAGAGGAATGGGAGACATCCCTCAAATAAAAACGAATAAAAGAACAGGGGGAAGACCAAGATGCTGCAGTGCAAATGTCTTCCACTGTCATTCCTCCGTGCAAAGCCGTAGAGGTTTAAATTCCTCTGATGCTGTGCGCTTTGATGTTTTCCGGGGGATCCACCCCAGAGGAGACATACGCCTGTGACAGACAGAGGCTGACAGACAGAGGCTGCCCTATTGAGTGCTCTCTGTAATGCACAAACAGGCTACTTTGGCTGACAAGAACTTCAGGGGGACCTGATCCAAAGGTTCGAATGGAGCTTTACTCAGTGCGCGTAACACCAACGCCAAATCCCATTGAGGCGCCAAAGCGCGTGACACCGGTCTGAGTCTCTGTACTCCCCGTAGAAAACGTGTTGTCAGAGGGTGACTAAACACCGTGCTGACACCAAACCCTACGTGGCAAGATGAAATGGCAGCAGCGTACGTTTTGACCGTGCTATAAGCCAAATTCCTGTCCAGTAACGTCTGGAGGGACGACAGCATGTGAGGCAGGGGGCACGTAACGGGGTCCAGGCTTTTCCCTACACACCAGCGCTGGAACGCTGTCCATTTGGCTGTGTAGGATGCTCTGGTGGACGCCGCCCTAGAACCCTGAATGGTACTGATAACATTTTTAGAGAGGCCCAGCCCCTCTAAATGTTCCCGTTCAGGGGCCATGCCCACAAACGTTGGCCCAATACTGGGTGACCGCTGATCGCTCCCTCCACCTGGGAGAGAGCGTCCCTGCGCCACGGAATTTCCCACGGTCTCCCTGACAGCATCCGCTGTAGGCATGGAAACCAGGACGCTCCCGTGCGTTCCGGTGCTATTAAGATCGCTGTCAGTCTCTCCTCCTGCACTCGGTCCAGGAACCGAGGGATCAGAGGGCCTGGTGGGAAAGCGTATAACAACACCTTGGGCCACGGCCTGTGTGCGAACGCGTCCACGCCCAGGGGGGGGTGGTCCTGCGTTCTCAGGGAGAACCAGAGGGCACACTGCGCGTTCTCGCGTGCAGCGAACAGATCCACCTCCGCTCTCCCGAATCTGCTCCATACCTGGGAGACCAGTTCGGGGTGGAGGCTCCAGTCCCCTTGGCGAGGACCTCCTCTGGACATGAGGTCCGCCCCTCTGTTCAACACACCGGGTATATACACCGCTCTGATAGAGAGTACGTGTGTTTGCGCCC